AGTTTTTTTCTATTTTAATTTTTTTCTCTTTGACTCAAGAAATTTTTGTTTGGGGATGTTAACTATTTCTCTGCATGCACTTTAAAAAAGTGTTTTATTTTGCCATTTACATTTTAGTTTTCATATGAGATTTTATATTTAACATATCGGCCTTTTCAAATGTTAATATTGTCAAATGAATCGGTCTCACTATTTATGGTTTCTACTTCAGGTAAATAATCAACTACCTTCTTTTATCTCTAAGATTATATATGTTCCCCATACATTTTTTTGCAGTGTCTTCATGATTTTACTTTAACATTTATCTCTGTAGTTGGTTGTGATCTAGGTAGTAAGAGAAGTATCTCCATTTATTATTTTGGAAAGAGTTAAGTAGTTGCTCAATCACTATTTTTTGAGAATTCCTTTTCTGATTATAAAGGCCACATATTTATAAACCGAACTATTATATTTCATCATGATCTAATTTTTTAGCTTTCTATTCATTTGACTTATCATCTAACTTGCATAAAAACATTGTTGTATTAATATCATTAAAAATTGAGTAAATGAAGACATTTCAGACAAACCAAAAATAATTTACTTATTTCTAGCAAGAAAAGGTAATAATAAAGAGTTCTTGAAGAAGAAGGAGAATGACTTTAAGTGGAAAGTTAGAGGTGTAGGAAGGTATGGAAAGAAATATGCAAATAATTACAAGTATTTCTTCACTACTTAAAGTAATAATAATAGAAAAGGTAGGGAGCAAAAGTATGTGAAATATCTAAACTATATTACAACAATGATTGAATGGGGTAAAATGGAGATAAAGTATTCAAAGTAAATTGATTACCTAAAAAAATGATAAAATGACAAATGCTATTTGTGTCTTTAAGTTCAGGATGCAACTGAAATAGTTGAGTTGTATACTTTTTTTTTTTTTTTTTGTTTAGTTCTATTTGTGTGATCTGTTTTATGAAAATGGTGAAATTGCTCCAATAAATGGCATAAAAGAAAATCTAGAAAATATCTTTAGTGAATGGTACAACCCAGTAAACTAAAGATTTCTATTCTCCTCAAATATCTTTCGAAATTCAAGAAAATCACACTCAGATAACAGACTGGGTTGTTTAAGGAAACTGACAGAACCATTGTAACATATACATGAAATAATATTTTTAAAAAATACCTCTGATATTTAGACATATTAGGAAGTCATTACATGTATATATACATATAAGTAAGTTGATCCTGGTAGCATAGTGGCTAAAGCACTTGACTGCTAACCAGAAGGCTGGCGGTTCAAACCCATCAGCCACTCCTCGGAAGGAAGGTTGGGCAATCCTACTTCCATAGTGATACTGCCTCAGAAACCCAAGGAGGGGTCGCTATGAGTCGGGGCTGACTCGACGGCACATAACAACAACAACAACAACAAAGTTGATCCTTACACTTAAATGTGTGTGTGTGTGTCTGTAAGGATCAACATTGGGATAGATGGAGACTTCTGAAATAGACCAATGTATTTATGGACCCCTAAGAGGTTGTCCCTGGAGTTCCTGGGTGGTGAGAATGGTTAACACACTCACTGCCAATCAAAAGATCAGTGGTTTGAGTCCAACTCTTTTTATCCCTTTACAGGCAGTGTTGCTTTGTTTTTCCTGTCCATTTAAAGCTCAGAAAACCATCAGTGACTTGACATATGCTATTCTCCCTACCTAGTTTTTTCTTTCTTTCTTTCTTTGTGACAAATATTTAATTACTTTCATGATTCATTTCTTTTTGAGGGCTTCACATTCTGATATCATAAAATTTTATATACTCTTTTATAATTACTCATCAGGTGCTTCAAGCATCATTTCCAAAATTTACCAACTACACTTAGAATTAGAGTGAGGATCAGGAACCACCTGAAATTCATGTTTTCATTTCCAGAATCCAGCATCCCTGAAAGTGGCTGTTTAATGAGGAAAAGAAGTAAAGGTGTGTTACTAATGGTAACATTATGCTAATAGTTTTGGAGTTATAAAAACCAACAGAAGCAAGATACAAAGAAAGCAGAACATTTAGGGCTTTCTGAACAGGAAACAACCTGAGGGAGAATGGAACTTCTATTTTGTGTGAGTCCCACACGTATTTCACTACTAGCAGGCCACTACTTGTAGTGCTGACTGTGAAACAACAAAGGTCACAGAGATCTCAGCACTATAGACTCCTCAGTCACCATTGTTGTGGTGGCAGACAAGGGGTCCAGTGAGGGGAGAGCAAAAACAATCTCTCCCTGCTTCAGACAGACCTCCACAAGATAAAAGAGGACACTAAGGCTACTGCTGATCAGAAGAGTAGAAGCAAGGAGATCAGAAGACCATATAAAAAAGTCTTAAAGACAAAGCATTATCTTTA